CTTGGGACCTGGGAGGGAAAAACTCCGTTATGTCTTCTTTCCTTCGGTCTCGCCCCTTCCCTAAAAAATCCCTATTGAATTGATTATCATGAGTCTGTGGAGAAGTAGTGATTCTCCACAGTTCTAGATCCAGAAGTCAAAGGGGGCTGAATGGGTTTATCATTCCGTGTTTTAGAAAGAAGTTTGTTGTTTACAAAACGATTAGATGGAGATGTATGCCATCTTGAACGTGAACCAGATTGGTTTCTTTTTTGAGTAGTTCTTTCTCTGTTAACATTCTTATAATTATGTCTACCACTTTTTCTATATCTTACTTTTCTGTCAATCTTGTTAAGAGTAGAATGATTATTATCAGCTTTGTCACTTTTATCTCTCAAATATTTTTTATTTTTTGTTTGGGCGATATTATCGTCCAATTTTTCTATTCTTTCAAAGAGAACCTTCTCCTTCTTTTTGAAATCGGAGGAGTTTCTATATAATGTGTTTGACTCAGCTAATTTACCCATTTCATTAGAAACATCAGTTAGGTTGTCCCTTTCAAAATCAACAATTATTTCCATAAGAGTCATTGAGCATTTTTCTAAAGCCAAATCCCAACGTTCAATATATTTAGATTTTTCTAGCCCATTTGCAGGTCTTTTTTCAAGTCAAAGACCTCTTGGAATTAAACCTTAATTTAAATAAGATTCTAGGAAGGTTATAGCCCACCATTTTTTTGTTTCTCTAAATGAAAGTCTCTCTAACTTAGAGAAATAATCATCCAAAGTCACATTTCGTTCTTGTTGTGGGATAGTAGAATTATTAAATAGGGATTGTAATTTAGCTTCTCTTAATTCTCTCAAATCTGAGAACATGCTCATGATTCTTATTAAGGAACATAAGGGTGAATGGTGAATCTATATAGAGGAAAAGAAATATAAATAACCAAATACAAAATGCACAGATACACCAAATAGTGGATAGAACACACACTTAGTGGGCAATAGGTAGAAAAAAATCTAAAAACAATTACCCTTGTACTATAAGTACTCTAGATAAGGACTCCTCACAGTCCCCAAATAATGTGGAAAAAAAGATAATCTACAATACAATAATAACAGAGAAAAACATAGTGCAATAATGTTGCAACAATTTAGAGATGGAAAGTAAATGCAATAATCACACTCACAAACCAAAATTGATTGTAGGCGTATCATAAAGATAGTAGAAACCTCAGGACTTGTGGAGCATCATGGCAAATATAGAGGAAAAAAGATAAAAAAAATAATAATAGTGCAGAGTATCTCAGTCAAAATAGACACTTTAATATAAAGACTAGTGATGCCCTGAACGGTTCGCCACGGACTCATCCTTGAGTAAACTTTGACCCTGTACCTCACAGTCAGCAGACACATTCCAGCCAATCAGCAGCAGACCCTCCCACCTCCAGGACAGCTCACTAAGAATGCAGCTTCAAAATGGATGCTGTCCAGGAGGTGGGAGGGTCTGGGAGGGAGGGACATCACTAATAAAGACACACTTACAATATTGAAGTGAAAAACAGGCACATCATATAAAATGGTTCAATCACAGGATCCCAGCAAACAGGTCCAAAATAATAAACAAATAAATAAATAAAAACAAATAAATAAATAAAAACAAATAAATAAAACTCTGCACTAATCAAAACAGCCCTACGCGTTTCGTTCAATCATTTGAACTTCCTCAGAGAAAAATAAAACTCATTCTAGGCATGAACGTCCATGAAGTCCTAATCTTCTTTTAAACTCAACTGGTCTTGGCGCGCAGAGTGTCCGAGCCTATCAGCAACATACTTCCGGGTTCGTCACTTCTAGTACTTCCGGATACATCCACGTGATGTTTCTGGAAATGCGGCTCAAGCCTCACTTTCAAACTGAAACCGGGCATGATGACGTATAGGCTTGCGTTCCATTTGGCAACTTGCGTTCCATCGCTCATAGTAAGAGTGAAAAAAGTCCATAATATTAATAAAAACATAAAAAACATATCCAATATCAGTGAAATGTCACAAACATTGGGTAATTACAAAAGTCCCAATTAAAGTATAACAAACCTTCATTTACATATTACTAGAAACCCTTGAGTTAACAAAAAATGACAGAAATATCCTAAAAATAAAAATAAATCAACAAAAAACAGCAGCAAAAAGATATTAAAGAAAACAAACTAAATCAAAATCTACATTAAGTCCCCTTGGTTGCATAGTTTGTAAAGTATGTATCCAGTAACCCTCTCTTTTTCTCAATAATAACCCAAGGTCACCACCTCTTTCGTCCAGAGCTACCTGTTCAATAATAGTGCATTGAAGAGTATTACAATTAAAAAAGGGGCATTTGTTACAGTGCACTGGCACTGAATGTGTTAACATATGTTTTTTGATTGCATTGGATATGTTTTTTATGTTTTTATGAATATTATGGACTTTTTTCACTCTTACTATGAGCGATGGAACGCAAGTTGCCGAATGGAACGCAAGCCTATACGTCATCATGCCCGGTTTCAGTTTGAAAGAGAGGCTTGAGCCGCTTTTCCGGAAACGTCACGTGGATGTATCCGGAAGTACTAGAAGTGACGAACCCCGAAGTATGTTGCTGATAGGCTCGGACACTCTGCGCCAAGACCAGATGAGTTTAAAAGAAGATTAGAATTTCATGGACGTTCATGCCTAGAATGAGTTTTATTTTCCCCTGAGGAAGTTCAAATGATTGAACGAAACGCGTAGGGCTGTTTTGATTAGTGCAGAGTTTTTATTTGTTTTTATTTATTTAATTGTTTGTTATTTTGGACCTGTTTGCTGGGATCCTGTGATTGAACCATTTTATATGATGTGCCTGTTTTTCACTTCAATTTTGTAAGTGTGTCTTTATATTAAAGTGTCTATTTTGACTGAGATACTCTGCACTATTATTATTTTTCTACCTTTTTTCCTCTATATTTGCCATGATGCTCCACAAGTCCTGAGGTTTCTACTATCTTTATGATATGCCTACGATCAATTTTGGTTTGTGAGTGTGATTATTGCATTTACTTTCCATCTCTAAATTGTTGCAACATTATTGCACTATGTTTTTCTTTGTTATTATTGTATTGTAGATTATCGTTTTTCCACATTATTTTGAGGACTGTGAGTCCTTATCTACAGTACTTATAGTACAAGGGTAATTGTTTTTAGAATTTTTTCTAACTATTGCCCACTGTGTGTTCTATCCACTATTTGGTGTATCTGTACATTTTGTATTTGGTTATTTACAACTCCACATTAGTAGAGCATATTAAGTTCTTTCGGGGTAAAATGGGGGGAGGGTATTACAAATTTTTTTTATAATTTGCTTGTTTTTAGATTGCCTTTTCATCCAGGCTCCTGGAATAGTTGGCAAAGGGAATTGGGAATACAGAGTTATAGATAATTTTGGACAGACTATTTGAATATGCAGGAACTTTATTTCAAGATTTTGAATAGGTGGTATTTGGTCCCCCAACAACTAAATTTGCCTCTTCTGAGTATTCACTTTGTTGAAGAAGCAAAAAAGATATGGGCACTATATCACATATTTGGTGAGTTTTTGATAAAATTAGAGATGAATGGTAAAGTGTTTTTGCCCTTGTCTCGGACTTAAATATAATTTTACCACCTTGCCCAGAGGTAGTATTGTTACAAGCGAACCTTCAAGCTCTGTCTACAGCTAAAAAAAAAGTATTTGTAATTCAGTGCTTTCTTGCACTTCAAGTTAGCATTACCAGAAGATGGAAGGATTATGGAGAATTAAAATGTGATGTGACTAAAACTATGGAAGGTCACAGACAAGGCAGATGCAGGAAATCCCTGGTCCTTCTTCCCTAGGGAGATAGATATTTTGGGTACACACAAAATACTCTAAAGGTCTGGCATAGGAACTCAGGAAGTGTAACCTTTCGTCATACCCATCACCATTATTAGCCCTGTCATATAAACCTGACTTTCTTCCAGGGCAGGATTCCAGGGCATTACACAATATTGTTAGAGACCCATTACCCCTTATACCTGTTCAACAACCGCATTAAAACCACTGACTTGCTAGACAGGTTCACTTCCTCCCCATTAGTCTCTTAAATATAGGCAGCTGGCCCGCTACATCTGCACACTACCTAAATGCCAGGTGCTCACCTTTTTCGAAAACACATGGTGAGAAAAACACATGAGAATGGGGCCCACGTCTGGATTGACCTTTAATCTTAAGGAGAGAAAAACAGGTAGCAAGTGAGGTAAGAACGGACCACACCTCAATTAGCCTGCCCTTCGGTGGGTCCCTGCTCAGATCTCAAGCTGGTTTTGCTCATCTAGTGCCATTACAGAGAGAACATATCTGAAGCATATCAGACTGGTCCCATCCGTAAGGGCCGTCCAGATTCGAAATGCCAGCAAGTTCCCTCTGTACAAGAGATACAGCAACCCCAGACAATCGGTTCAACCTTGTAAGGTATCAGTTAGGTATAGCCAATATTCCTCTAGACACCGTGAGCATCTTTGCTGGTGATGAGGGAATGGGACAGGCATACTATACCACATATGGTGGGAGAGCAGATTCATCTAGTCTTTTTGGAAGGGGATACACAAAATGTTGGAGATGTTTTCTGATGTCCCTCCTTCCTTCGAGCAGGCTCCGATGCGCTTACATTACATGAAAAACCCAAGCGATAGATATAAGAAGTCACTCTCCATACACATTCTGAATGCTAAACAGGTGACTCCCCCTTAAGAACTTGGTTCTCACAATTGGAAGACTTTCAAGCAGTGGAAGAGTTAAAAACATGAGCGTTGCAAACACCATGCATACGTACACTGAGATTTAGTTTCACTGGCTACTGATCCAAACTTTACAGCTCGGTTGGGGTAGTCTTTTTGACTGACTACCCTCTCCATGACTGTTACCTTTTCACCCCCTTAATTTTTTTTTTCCTCATTCCCAAACCAGCCAAAAAGGAGTATTCCACCTTTCAAACCCAGCACCACTACACCATGGGATTTGGTATAACCCCCTGACTACTATTGGATAAATGGCCCTCTAAACCACAGACACACTGGAGATAGAACCACATATATGACCACATGGGTTGGGGATATACAATATGTACTGTGGGTGTCACCTAACGGTTTTAACCTTTGAGCAACACTTTTAAGAGATGTCCTGCACTGCCTAATCAGGCTTGGTAGAAAAGGAACATTTGTCCAGGTTTCTATACAGTATTAATCCATTGTACTTCTCTTATTTCTATTGTAGTAAAATCTTACTTGTGATCCAGTCTGCTGGTGCTTGGTCATCATCAAAAGGTGTTCTCATAGGAAAGCATTGGATTGGCTGAGCTTGTCAAAGAGGCAGAGCCAACACAAGCTAACCACAGCCCTGGCCAATAAGCATCTCCTCATAGATTTATAAAATATTTTACCAGGAAAGATACATTGAGATTTCTCTAGTTTTCAAGTATGTCCTGGGTAGATAGATCAATTCATCTCTAGGAGGAAAGTTCAGTGTCTCCATGCAGAGGGTTGAGGCACTGAATGACAGTCACACTGTGCAGCACTACCCCAGAAAGCACCTCTAGTAGCCAACTGAGGAGTGGCCAGTGGAGGTATCCCTAGGCTGTAATTAAAACACTGCATTTTCTCTTAAAAGACAGTGTTTACTTTAAAAAAAAAAAAAACCCTGAAGGGAATAATTACCAGAACAAATACAATAAGCTGTAATTGTTTTGGTGACTATAATTTCCCTTTAATATGGAGTATGAAATGACCATATTTAATTGAAAATGTAACTATACTTTAGATTTGTGGACAAGGTATGGCTATACTTTACGGGGTCTTTGCCTTTTGTGACGGTAACATGACATGGCAATGGAGGTTTGTGTTGGTAATTTGATTATAATGTATGTCTTTATCTGTATAATTCTGTACTGATATAATACGGATTTAAAGTATCTCTGGTCTGATTTGAAGTTCTAGTCTCATTAAACAACAGGAGCGGTCACCCATAATGGAAATGATTTTAGAGCGATTTTGAAAAGTTTTGTGATAAAATAATTAAAGTGTTCATATATTCTTTGTTAATTACCTGAGGGGCACTACTTACTACATGATATGATCTAATCAAAATTAAAAAAAATAAAATAAACAACAATACACGCCTCTCAATATTGTTCCTACAATATCCATAAAAATATTTTAAATCCTAGCCATGTGGCATAAAGCATTTTAACAATTTGGACTAATGGGTTAATCTATTTGATTTATTCTTATTTAAGTGGTGGTAGAAATTATTACAAGCAAAAATTATTTTTTTCCCTTTCACTCACCTACTCCCTCCTACTACTATTTCATATTGTATGCATACTTAATGCTGTGTTGTATACATATGGAGTATACGATAAACGTTTAATCTGACCTCCAAAAACACATGGCAAAGTAACCAAAGAGGACTGCCACAAATGCACGGATCTCTAAAAACATGCCTTTGGTCATAAATGAAACTACATAGTTAACAATAGTTATATGTTGTTTCCAATGTTTTATTCAATTAAATCATTTCCATAGAAGTGACGGTTCCATTTTGAAGTATTGAACAGCTGTCAACGAAGGGGTTTACACTGCCACTTACTGGATGTATCTTGAACGGTTAACCCTGCACACACCTGTGTTACAAGTGGAAGAGACCAAAGCAGATTTGCAATCTCAGTTTAAACCCCAAATGGCTAATGCTGGCTAAAACAAATACCTTGAGTGCTGGAGCAATAAACCCTGAAAGAGTTAATAAATAACAGTATTCCTTATAAATGCATACTGCCGCTCTTCTGGTTGCAACATAGAATTAGTCACCAATAGCCTTAATAAAATGTTTTTTAATCCACACCTGAATTAATCAATCCATCTGGGATTTACCTGTGGAGTCTTATGCAGTGCATAAAACAGCACAGGTAAATCCCAGATGGATAGATTCGTTCAAGTGTGGATTAAAAAGTATTTTCTTCAGATGCATCGCTCAAAAGTAATTTTTGCACAAGTCTGATCATCAATGCATGTTCTCTGTGTGTTGTTACTTACAAATAATTAGAAACCATATAGAAAAGAAAACCTTTCAACACTCCAATCGCATTATATAACATCAATTAAACTTAGAAATAACTATTTTTAAATGAGACTCAAACTGTGATTATACTACAAAGGAGAAATTATAACCAAAAGTTGTTGTTCAATAAGGTGTGGGAACAGGTAGTATACATTTCACTTCCAAATATTTGAAACCCATTGGAGAAGAATGGGTACAAGTAACCCTGGAAGAGAAACACTAAAGAAATTCAACAGTCAGAGCCAATGGGAAAAAAAAATAAAATAAAATATATAGCAACTTATTACTGATAAAATGTTTGTGTATTGGTAGCATTCTACATATTCCAAACAGTACATTTAACAGTTTGTGCCTATTACACAGAGTATCCAAGGCTATCTTGAATTTGGGTCACTCTGGTCTTTTTGCTCATTTTTCTTCCTGTGCTCAGAAGAAGAGTGGCTTTTATCCCTCTGCGACTGACCACTTCTTTCATAGGGATGTGTTTTGTGTGTTCTTGAATGTCTCTTCTCCTTTCTGTCGTCCTCTGTTTCATCTTGGTCTCTTTTGCTTCTGTGATCTTCATCCTTTGATGGTGGTAATGCATTCTTGATAGTATTGATTAAAAATCGTTTATTGGTGCTTGCAAGTGGACATTTCATCCTGAAATAAAAGTTGACAGAGCCGGGAAACAATTACAATTGGAAACAGATTACAATAAGAAAACTCCAAGACTTCTTCTTGAGTTTTCCTTGCATGCCACCTAGTGTATAAATCAGAGAAAAGTATTTCCAAGACAAAACCTTAAATAAAGCTGCATTTTAAAGTTCCTAAAGTTACTAAAATGAGCAAAGCCGGGACAATGAGAGGATGAAGGACAATATGAAATGTAAGGTGGCCGTGAGAACCAAAAGATGGCAGGGAGACATACAGGAATGGGACAGAGAAAGTAAAGGGGACAGCGACAATGCGAGGAAATGGGAAAGTGACAATTAGATAAAGTGGGCAATAAAATGTTATAGACATCATTCCATCAGATGTCATTTTCTATGCTGGATTGGTACCTGTGACATGGGAAGAGAGTGTAAATGCACTCCACACTTGCACATGCATGCATTCACGCACTTACACGGATCCTTCATTCACATCTGCACGACACTTACATATATACACACTTTCCTTCCACACAAAAACATACCTGAAATCATGCACACATAATAGTGACAGTACAAGCATTAAAACAATTTTAGCTTATTTGTTTTGGTGTATAGATCATGCACCTGCAGTCTCTCGGCGCATTTATTTATTTATTTTGCGTATGAAGTACAAAAGATACCTACAACACATGCATAGGCACAGTAATATCAAGCAATGAGAAATACACATGTGGCATAAGAAACAATAGCAGTTTTTTTTTTTTATTAATTATAGTAAATCAGGCTAAGTATGCCCAGATAGGGAGGGAAATATATGCTTGCTAGCAAATTAAACGTCTGGACATTCTAGATGCAAGGACATAGTTAGGTAAGAATGCAAAGCATGGTATAGGGTAGGTCTAAAAGTAAGTTTAATTAGAAAGATTATGGTATGACATGCTATTATTAACAGAATGGCTGTAATGCCACTGGGTACTGGTCACTAATCAAAGACCGGTTTAGGAATCTCTTTGCTGTACATATGCAGAGTCTCTGCCACCTGGAACTCACCCGATACCACATGCTGGCCATTCAGGAGTACCGGTCCAGAACAAGTATCCTCGTGTTCCTGATTAGTTCAAGGCAGTGCACAAGTCAAGATGCGTTGTGTCCGATGCGGTTTTAAGCAGTAAAGGCTTGATTTGTGCTCAGATGTGTCAGACCTATTTAGGAACACGTCTGACCATCATGCCTGTTGGGCCCAGTCTCACTGCTCAATTCTCTGCTATTTCAGAGTTAAATCACTTTCATTTCTGCATCGCTAGCCACACCTACCCTGGCTGTGACATGAACAGCCTGCATGAACAAAATGGTTTCATTCTGCTCTGTAAACTGAACTTTAAGCACACACAGGAGACTCTTGCAGGCAGTAGCGGATTATTAACAGAGCAGGAGACAAGAAAATTCTAGTTTAAACGTTAGATGCCTCTTTACATGAAGTGTTTAAGAGGGCTGTGCAAGTCACATGCAGGTAGGTGTGACTAGAGCTGCATAAACAAAGTGATTAATTAATATTGAGCAGCAAGACCGAAGGGAATGATCTATACACCAAAGCTGCTCTATTAAGCTGAAGTTGTTTTTTTGCCTATGGTGTCCCTTTAAAGTGATACTCCAATGTTGTAAAATAAATACATCCACACCCCTTCTTCAAAAAAAGGATAACTTGCCTCTTACACATACCAATAATCTTCCAGCCAATTGAAGCATTTTGGGGGCTGTATGAGAAGCCCACTCGGGTATATCTTTCAAGGGAGGTAAGCCACCTAAATAGTGGTTTTAACACTAAAGGGTCAGGAATACACATTTGTGTTACTGACTATATATAGTGTTGGCTTAACGGAGATCATGAAGATTGATGATCTACGCCATGGAGGTGGAATCAGCCACAGTGAAACTGACACAGGGTGGGGAAAAAAGGTGAGAAAAAAAAAAAAAAAAGCAGCCTGCCTACCTTTGGTAGAGTGGATCCTTTCTCTGTGGTCCAGTGTGGCTGCTCTCTAATCATCCTGCAGTTCCTCTCTGCATCTCCTGAGCGCTCTGTAGTGATGCTGGAGCCACAGTGATGTCATATCCTGGCTTCCAGCATCACTAAAAGGCAGGAGCAGAGAGGAACTGCAGGAATATTACTGCTCCATCGCTTGCAAAAGTCGCCATGGCATCTGGAATTTGTTGATCCCTGTCTTAAATGAACACTCCAAGCACCAAAATCCCTACAGCGCACTGAAGGGAATGGATGGGTTATTAGCATCCTTATATTTCACTTCTAAACTCCTGCCCACTCATCCCTAACTTCACCTACCCACTCTAATGCTACTGATCTAAAAGGGATACTCCAGGCACCCAGACCAATTCTGCCCCTTGGAGTGGTCTGGGTGCCAACTTCTACTACCCTTAACCCTGCAAGTGTAATTATTGCAGTTTTCATAAACTGCAATATTTACCGTGCAGGGTTAAGTTCTCCTCTCGTGGCTGTCTAATAGACAGCCACTGGAGGAGACTTCCGTGTTCATAGAACACCCCATAGGAAAGCATTATTCATGCGCATTAGGTCTCTCCTTCCGAAGGCCGCGCTTGCGGAGTAGGTCTCCCCCGCCGACATCAGCCGGAGCATAGGCGGAGACTGACCCAGCGCCGAGGGACATCAGAGTGAACTCCGGTAAGACACTGAAGGGGTTTTAACCCCTTCACCAACTTGAGATGGGGGGTGGGAGATAGAGGGGCACTAGAGAGTCCTGCAGTGCCAGGAAAACATATGTTTTCCTGGCACTGGAGAATCCCTTTAACCCCTTAAGGACCAAATCTTCTGGAATAAAATGGAATCATGACATGTCACACATGTCATGTGTCCTTAAGGGGTTAAACAAACACTCCAAGCACCAAAATCAATAGAGAACACTGTAGTGGTTATGGGGCCAGGAGTGCTCAGCTACCCCCCTTTGTAAGAAATCAAGCCATTTTAGAATTTGACTTCTCACTTTGGTTCCACTGGGCTCAGCACCCTGCTTTCACAGCAGCCTACATGGGAGCCAGAAGACAAGAGCTTCTGTTAGTTATCCTGATAAGAATATTAGTGCAGCGCCAGCTATTTGGCAGAGTGTATCAACTGATTGCTCTCAGAAAATGAGCAGAGCCTTGAACCATTTGGCTTAGCCTGAGAGATGGAGCAAGAAGAAATGCCCAGCGGAACACAGATTAGAAGTCAAACCACACTAAAACGGTTTGACTAGAATATGACAGCAGAGGAGAAATATTTGGCCCATCTAGTCTGCCCAATTTTCTAAATACTTTCATTAGTCCTTTGCCTTATCTTATAGTTAGGATAGCCTTATGCCTATCCCATGCATGCTCAAACTCCTTTACTGTGTTAACCTCTACCGCTTCAGCTAGAAGGATATTCCATGCATCCACTACCCTCTCAGTAAAGTAATACTTCCTGATATTTTTAAACCTTTGCGCTTCTAATTTAAGACTGTCCTATTCTTGTGGTAGCTTTTCTTCTTTTAAATATAGTCTCCTCCTTTACTGTGTGGTTTCCCTTTATGTATTTAAATGTTTCTATCATAGTCCCCTGTCTCGTCTTTTCTCCAAGCTAAACATGTTAAGTTCTTTTAACCTTTCCTTGTAACTTTTATCCTGCAATCCATGAACCAGTTTAGTAGCCCTTCTCTGAACTCTTTCTAAAGTATCAATATCCTTCTGGAGATACGGTCTCCAGTACTGCGTACAATACTCCAAGTGAGGTCTCACCAGTGTTCTGAACAATGGCATAAGCACTTCCCTCTTTCTACTGCTAATACCTCTCCCTATACAACCAAGCATTCTGCTAGCATTTCCTGCTGCTCTATTACATTGTCTGCCTACCTTTAAGTAATCAGAAATAATCACCCCTAAATCCCTTTCCTCAGATGTTGAGGTTAGGACTCTATCAAATATTCTGTACTCTGCCCATGGGTTTTTACTTCCAAGATGCATTATCTTGCACTTATCCACATTAAATGTCAGCTGCCACAACTCTGACCATTTTTCTAGTTTACCTAAATCATTCCCCATTTGGCTTATCCCTTCTGGAATATCAACCCTGTTACATATCTTCGTATCATCAGCAAAAAGACATACCTTACCATTAAGACCTTCTGCAATATCACTAATAAAAATATTAAAGAGAATGGGTCCAAGTACAGATCCCTGAGGTACCCCACTGGTGACAAGACCATGCTTTGAATATACTCCATTGACTACAACCCTCTTTTGCCTGTCACTCAGCCACTGCCTTACCCATTCAACAATATTTGAATCCAATCTCAAATATTGCAGTTTATTGATAAGCCTTCTATGTGACAGTGTCAAAAGTCTAGGTAAGCAATGTCTACTACACCACCCTGACCTATTATGTTAGTTACCAAATCAAGAATAAAATTAGTTTGGCATGAGCTCCCTGAAGTAAACCCATTTTGTCTCTGATTTTGAAATCCATGTGATTTTAGATGTTCAACAATCCTATCCTTTAACATGGTTTCCATCACTTTCCCCAGTACTGAAGTAAGGCTTACTGGCCTACAGTTGCCCGACTCCTCCCTACTACCTTTCTTGTGAATGAGCACAACATTCACTAATTTCCAATCTTCTGGGACTATGCCTGTGAACAATGATTGGTTAAATAAATCTGTTAATGGTTTTGCTAGTACACCACTAAGACTACTTAAATATGGGAGTGCCAGGGCCCTTCTTGCACAGACAGAGAATTAGACATATTTCAATGTTATTTCCCCTACTCTCAAGCAATGAACAACATGCTGCTGATGCACTCCGGGGTCTCAAAAAAAACCCAAAAAACAACAAAAAACCTGCAGGAAACAAGCAAATGCTGCATAGCCAGGTATTCAATAAAATCCTGCCATAATACCAACCTAATTGAGGGGTGTGCAGTAAAGTTCTGGTCCCCAGCACCCAATTCCTAAGAGTCAACTGGAGAATATCATCAAGTCCCCCTAGGTAGCCTGGTATGGCACTATACTACGAACTACTTCAACAAAATATAAGATAAAAAACATCAATATCCACCAGCCCTTTTCAATAACCATGGAGATCCAGGACGAAAGATGCCAATATTGGGAATAAAATATTTCAGAAAGTATGGTTTTAGAGAAGTATGGTTTCATGTGTGTGCTTTTCCACCCACTGCTAATCCTATAGTTTAAGGTTAGTTAAATAAAATAAATAAGAAGTGTTATGCTAACAGAGGCAATGTGGCTTACCCTCTCCTGTGTGCATCTTGCGTTAAGAGAATATTTCTGATTACAGAAGTGTGCAACAGTTAGAACTGCTCGAAGCATTCGCCACTAGAGAAAGCTTCATCAAGCATATGACCGTTTTACAAATGGACTAGCACTGAATAAAATATTATTGTATTAAGAGTATATCCTCTGAGGAGGTACTGTAATATACAGAATGAAGCCAAGTCAGCTAAAACTCAGTGATGGGCTACAGAACTTACCCAATCAAGCAATGAAAAGTATTTTGGAGAATGGATCCATAACCACTAAAAGATCTACTTCACACAGCTATATTACACAGCAGGATCACACACTTAATTCCTTAAGGGGAAAGTGATTTGGCATATTCCTTTAAACCGATTCAGCAAGTTTTGAAAAATTCTGGGGAAAGCACTAAAAATGGAGGAATCAGCAGGAAAAAAAAAAATAAATTACTTTCCATGGAAATAAAAAACAAAGGAAGTTAGCTTACTAAGCATTTATATACTAGCATTAAAATACTGTAAATCAACATACTTGTGCATAAATGAGGAAGTTAGCTCACTGAAACTAAATATTTTCAAGATATTTAAAAGAAAATTGCACAACCTACAAACTACCCTGCTTTTTGCGGTCGGTCCTGATATTTACCCTATTTCCTCACCCAGTTTTGGTTCTCACGGGACCCCAGAAAGTGCAGAAGTTATGTGTTTAATGACATGCTTACAATGTGCTATACTAACTCAAAATATTTCCTCTTGCAAAAGCACTTCATCAGCATTCTGAGAATGGGCAGCTCTGGGTGGCACTGACTGGCAAATACGATCAGTTATGCATGTGCATTGGACTGGCACTGCCCAGTCCACTTCTAATCTTGTCCACTCTTGTTTTGTTTACATACATCCCAATCTTGGGTGGTACTAGCTGGTATTACTTTGCAGAACTAACAGCACAGTCCTACAAGGAAATCAGAAAGTAAACCTTTAGAACCCCTTAAGATTGGGGCTTGAAAAAGATTGGGGAAGATCCTGGATGAAAAAAAAAAAAAAAGTCTGGTTCTTTCACTTTTTAAGTTTCTTTTAATAAAAATGTAAAATGTTTGCTGGGATGAGAATGAAGTTTCCAAACTCCCTCATTTTAAAGCTGCTCTATCACTGTAAAGGTCTTTGCATATTTTGCAAAGACCCCCGGGCCTGTGACTGCTCTGCTGGCAGTGAGGTAGCCAAGGGGTACAGGAAATAAGTTATACTAACCTAAACCTGTGCCTCGCAGTCAACTTTTTCTTGACAGTCCTATTCAGCTGCCAGGAGCTGACATCAGCATTGTACTTTTGCCCATGCACTAGATCCTGCAGGACGGTCTATAAACCGAGCCTTTTTCCCCACTCAGCCGTCACCAGTAAGCTTCTGCCTTTTGTCAAGCATTGGAAAAATACTAGGACAAAATATCAAAGTGTATTAATATAACTTTTGACAGTGGTGGAATTTCAGAGAAATTCAAACAGTCAATGTCAGTATTTCATAAGATTTCAGGTCACAGGATTTATTGGACACGTACTTGAAGACCCTAGATGAAGTTTGACTTATCACAGTGATACTGCAGTTGCTATCAGTCTATGCACAGCTTTATTTACACCAAAGGGACCACGGCTGTCAGCATCAATACAATAGGCTGCCAACAGTGCATGTGTGCTCTTTTAATATCATACAATTCAGACTTTAGTAAATAACCCAATAAGTATTTTCTACAGGACTCAGTGTTTTGGAGCCAGGAAAATGTAACAGTTATTCAAAGTACAAAATAAAACTGGAGCATCAATGGGTTTTAATTACTAGAAGAATTGTGAGCCACTACTCAGAATATTTTTATTGTTGATATGATTTACTCATTATTTCTCCTTTACCTTATTGTTGTCTATACTCTTCAGAAATGAAATATCACTAAGTACCATCACAGCTTTGCACAATTGCAGTGGTGACATATCAAATTTGTTCAGCTTGTTTGTTGCTCATTCCAAAGAAGGCCAAGTAAGCTACAAATCACAGCTCTGCTGAATGGTGAACATACCAGAGTTCACTAAGCAATCTGGTATGGTTGCCATCAATTTACAGAACAGTTTTAGTCATCCAAAGTGATGAGTGGAACTGCTCTTGGGGGGGTAAGCTACTTATCCAATAAGCTTCTGCTGGACAGGAGTTTATAGGATAAAAAAAAAAGCAAAAAAAGCAACAACAAAAAAAAAACACACGCTCTTGATTGAGGAGTCTTCATGATGAGGGATCTCCATACAGCTTCAGGCAGATCCACTAAAGAGTGTACCTGCAGTGAACTTTTAAAGGTATATTTTTTTAATCAAAAGGAACACTACAGCATTAGGAATACAAACATGTACTCCTAACGCTTTAGTGTTCAACTAAATACTTAAGTCAACCCAAACCCAATGCGTAAAGAGAGACTTTCCGCTTATCCCTTGCTGTGCCCATCTCCACGCTACTGGTACCGGCTCCTTGGCAGAGATCATCAATAATTACCTCAGCCAATCCAATGTTTCCCAATAGGGAAGCACTGGGAGGCTAGTGCGCGTACATAGCGTTCAGCATTTCCACGCAGAGGGGGGAAAAAAACAACAGATTGCAGGACCTCGTCCAGAAAATTCATCTAGCTGATGTCCAAGAAGAAGTCATTAAAGGTAGTTCACAGAAAATGTAGCGTTTACACTGTTGGCCCTGCAGAGACTGGCTAAATGTCTCAAAACCACTAGAGATGTACCACAGTTTTACTATGATGAACGGTCTCTAGTTTTCACTTTAAGTTAATCTTACTGGAGAAAACGGTTTTGTAAAACACTAACATTACACATAGTATTTGAAGGTTTCCACAAAATGATGATACTTAAAGGGACTCTCCAGTGCCAGTAAAACAAACCGTTTTCCTGGCACTGCATGTCCCCTCTCCCTCCCACCCCAAGTTGCTGAAGGGGTTAAAACCCCTTCAGTGACTTACCTGTATCCAGCGCCGATGTTCCTCGGCGCTGGTTGAGGGTCCGCGCACACTCCTCCCCCGCCGGACCTATTACGCATGCGCGGCCGCTGGCGGGGAAGACCTAATTCGCATGCATTAGACCTCCTCATAGGAAGGCATTGAAAAATGCTTTCAATGCTTTCCTATTGGGATTTCAGCGACGCTGGAGGTCCTTACAAGCGTGAGGGCGTCAAGCGAAGCTATAACACGCTTTTCGTATGCTATAAACAAGGAAGTGCCCTCTAGTGACTGTCTAGCACACAGCCACTAGAGGAGGAGTTAACCCCGCAAGGTAAAGAGTAGTGGGAGTTGGCACCCAGACCACTCCAATGGGCAGAAGTGGTCTGGGTGCCTCGAGTGTACCTTTAACCTATTTCCAGTGTGTACCCCTTTTACAGTTTTGTAATTATAAGAAGTTAAAAGCACTAGTTAACCTATTAAAAAAAGTGTTATTGTCTTATTAAGAATGGTGTTTGTCCTGAACACTCAATGTTTGTTTCAGTTTCACAAGGATATTGAGGTCAATATGTAATTACGGTTTTGCTGTCCAAAAGTATAAGAACATGTCTACATACCATCCCATTGCTCCCATAGTCTCAGATCGAATCTTTCCACGTTTTGCTTCCTTAAGAAGCTCCTCTACAGCTTCCCTGTGTCAAAAGAAAAACAATGTTCAAATATAATGCTCCTACAGAGACAACTTAAGAGTCAGTAAAATCTTAATGAAACATATTTTAAAGTGAACCTATAGTGCTGAAAATTATTGCTTTTTTTTCCCAGGAGTATAGATTTACTTCTATAACTGGGCCAACTGAATACCACCTTTGCTGGTACAAAGTAGAGTTAGGAATAAAATGACTTACCTTGCTTCCAGTGCCAAGATGCTTACTATAGCTGCCCGCTCTGCCAGTATCAGCATGCCTGCTGGCAAGATATGCATGCATGCCAAAATCATATGCTTCTCCAACCAAATGATGCAATGGTACTGGAATTGGCAGCGCTACTAGTGGCTATCAGGAAGACAGCCACTAGAGGTATATTTAACTCTTCAATATAAACATTACGGTTTCTACAAAACAGAAATGTTTTACATCAAATGGTTAAACAACAGGACAACTGCACCCAGACCACTTTAGAGAGATAAGGTAGCCTTGGGGCCTTTAGTGGTAGTTTAAATAAAATACATGCACCCAAATTATGCACATAATGTCCATGGTATCTGCTTATACAGTTGCAAATGCCCATCTTCTTGGCAAAAGCTGGCAAAGTTCACAGGGAAGAACACACTATCGGCTCATTTTAAATCAAAAAGTCCTTTTTATTAATGTGGTGTTTTAAGCCATTCAAAATTCAGACAGAGATTAAAGAAATGTTGCCATCAAAAAATAAATAAAAAAATATATGACAATGGCAGTCAAATTTCCACAACAGGGAAAGAGGGGGCTATGCAGTGGGTGCCTTATAGACCCCGTTTTTTTGTCAAACCCCTTGAAAATAGTTTGATACATAATTTGTGGGTCGGCTATATAGCTCTCTTAAATCAGGTTAGAATGGTTTTTAATCAACATTTTGCTGGCCACAAGAGCGTTCAATGTAGAACTAAACCTAAAATAACCAAGCTAGCCAGAATTCCAACTAAACATTGTAACTTCACCCTGCCCTAAATCTAAAATACACTAAAATGGTCATTAATACTTGAAGGAGGCATAGGCCTATGGTAGCAAAATGAATGCAATCAGCCTGAGCTCCCACTACACTCAGGCAGCCAGCCAGCAGCTGTCCAGCACTCCTGTATTAAGGGGGATAGCGAGGTGTTCTTTAATGAGGGGCTACATGTGTTAAAATCACATTATGGGGCAGGAAGGCCAATGGCTGCATAGGCCCAGGGTGGAGGGAGGAAGGGGTGGAGGGAGGCTGTGATTCGGTAACCGCCGCCCTGGCTGCTCGGACTATATGAACATTCATTCAAATAATAAAAGAGGTTAAACTGCCACAAGGAAACTCATTACCGCTCCAGGTCGTCCTCCTTCATGGTACCGCTCGGCTCGTCAGTAAACCCGGAAGAAGCAGCGGACATGCCAGCCATATGCAAACTGCGCACTGCCAGCCAATGTTAAGACCACTTCCGGCGACGCACGTACGTGTGACGTCACTCCCGAGCTGTTGCCTGGTATTTGTGGTTGACTTTTTTTTTTGTTTTGTTTTTTGTTATTAAAGTTTTTTTTGTTGAGCATTGATAGAGGTGCTAGGTGTAACTGCCCCTGGTGTGTAAAGTGCTCTATTCCTTGATTTTGTATTGCCTCTGTGAGTGTGAGTGAGTGTGTGTGAGTGAGTGAGTGAGTGAGTGAGTGAGTGAGTGTACACTACATCTGTCTGACAATCCTAGTTAAATGGACACTTAGAGGAACACTCCAGCTAACATAGGCACTGTAGTGGTTATGGTGGCATGGCTGCCCTCTCTCAGAGTAAGCAGTTTAACCATTTGAAAATGGTTTGAGGACTTAAAGTATTATTTAAAAATATATATATATAGTCATAGATAGTTCTCTTTTCTGACGCCATTCCTCCTCGCTGGAGGGATGTCAGGAAAAAGGTGGGCAGAGTTAGTTGGGGGGGGGGCGTGCCGCCATTAGTTGTCTGGTGCTAAATTTGCAAATAATTCACATTAGCCAACCCAGAACTCTTAACCCCTTACGGACACGTGACGTGTGACATGTTATGATTCCCTTTTATTCCAGAAGTTTGGTCCTTAAGGGGTTAAAGGGACACTCCAGGCACCCAGACCACTTCTGCCCATTGGAGTGGTCTGGGTGCCAACTCCCAATACTCTTAACCCTGCAAGTGTAATTATTGCAGTTTTTGTAAAATCTCTTTTCTCTGTATAGAAGCTGGGAAGACCATTAAGACCAACTGTTGGTTTTCAAACACTGACTGACCCAAGGTGTATGTATATGGATGAAGGACTCTTTCATACTAAGGGTAAGGATTAGTTGGTTTTTTTCCTGTGTTTTTTTTTACATGTACCGTACTGAAATACAGTCAGGTCCATAAATATTGGGACATCGACACAATTCTAATCTTTTTGGCTCTATACACCACCACAATGGATTTGAAATGAAATGATCAAGATGTGCTTTAACTGCAGAGTTTCAGCTTTAATTTGAGGGTATTTACATCCAAATCAGGTGAACAGTGTAGGAATTACAACAGTTTGTATATGTACAGATTAACAGCCATAAATCAAACTTTCATGAATCAATGCTTTCCTATAGCATTTTAGCTGACGCTGGATACATAGTGTGAGGACATCCAGCGTCAGTTAGGCAAAAAAATGTTGCCTAACAACCCGGAAGCACCTCTTGTGGCTGTCTGGTAGAGTTAACCCTGCAATGTAATTATTGCAGTTTCTCAAACTGACAGGGACAGTGCACCCAGACCAATTCAAAAAGCTGAAGTGGTCTGGGTGCCTATAGTGCCCTATTAGTGGACTCATCTAAGAGACTTGATTTGACCTGCTAACCTCAAGGCAAACCTCTCAGATGAGTCTTAGACTAACGATTCACTTTGCTGCTTTCAACTTACAGGTAAAACATGTAATGAGACAGAAGAAGGTATTTTTTATGAATTCCCTACAAACCCTTACAGGGTTCCCATGGGATGAGTCGGAGCAGTGTAACAAGGCTGTGTGATACAAACGCATTATAAAAACACAAAACATAGATATGTGCACAAACTTCCATTACTCTTGGGCAGCAGCAATGGATATAACATAGTAATCTAGGAAAAAAGAATAAAGTTGATCAAGTTCAACCTTGAAAAGTTTTCATCTACCAAAATCTATAAACTAAACCAATGCCTATTTGTCTTCCATGTCACTTCTTCTCTTCTTTAATTAGTTACTTGCCATTAAACTACTGCCACTTACCAAGTCATTGTCATTTACCCTCCCCATGCTACTTCCTCTCCCCATCAAAATGGTAAAAATGCGTACTTTTAATGAATATAATTTTTAACAAAAATAAATAAAACATAAAAATAAATAACTTATAATTGTTTATTATACAGTATTAACATATATTACATTGTGACAAAGAAGTAAGTAGAAGTATAGAGCAGGGTGTTGCAGTGGATGTGATCTACTTGGATTTTGCCAAGGCATTTGCTACGGTTATTCGCGATAGGTTAGTCTTCAAACTAAAAGAAATTTGTCTAGATGAATATTCTCGTTCTTGGATAGAACATTGGCATAAGGATAGAGTACAATGAGTTTTCATTAATGGTAAATTTTCAGGCTGGACAAAAGTGGTAAGTGGTGTCCATCAAAGTTCTGTTTTGGGACCGCTTCTATTTAACATATTTATAAATTATCTTGAAATAGGCATTGAAAACCATGTTTCAGTGTTTGCACATGACACAAAACTTTGTAAAGTAATAAAATGTGAGCAGTATATTGCTTTGCTGCAGATGGATTTAGATAGATTGTGGGATTGGGCACTAAAAACGCAGATGAAATTTAATTTAGAGAAAAGCAAAGTTGTGCACTCCAGGGTCAAGAATGCACGAGCAACTTACACCCTAAATAGTAGTGAACTAGGGATAACCACACACAATAAGGATTTGGGAATTGTTATAGACAACAAATTAGGCAGCAATATCAATCTGCAGTTGCTAAGGCCAGTAAGGTTTTGTCATGTATAAATAGGGGCATAAATTCTCGGGATGAAAGTATAATTTTGCCTCTTTATAAATCGCTAGTAAGACCACACCTTGAATATGCTGTGCAATTTTGGCCACCTTTTCTAAAGAAGGATATCATGGCACTAGAAAAAGTGCAGAGACGAGCTACAAAATTTATAAAAGGATTGGAGCATTTTAGTTACGAAGAAAGGTTACAAAATGTAAATCTCTTTATTTTGGAAAAACGGCACCTCAAAGGGGATATGATAACATTGTACAAATATATTCGGGGCCATTACAAACCATTATCTGGAAATCTATTCATAAACAGGGCTATACATAGGACACGAGGTCATGCATTTAGGCTGGAAGAAACAAGATTTCATCTAAGGCAAATAAACGTTTTTTTTTACAGTAAGAGCAATAAGGATATGGAATTATCTGCATGAAGAGGTGGTTTTATCAGAGTCCATACAGATATTTAAACTGCAATTGGATAAATACTTGCAAAAATGTAACATACAGGGATATAATTTCTAATTAGTGGGGTAACAGCTGCTTGATCCAAGGAGACATTTGAATGCTATATTTTGGTCACAAAGGAATTTTTCCCCTAGTTTGCTGCAAAATTGGAAGCGCTAAAGACTAGGTTTTTTGCCTTCTTTTGGATCAACAGCAATAACATATGTGAGGAAGGCTGAACTTGATTATTATTATTTTTTTATTTATATAGCGCCATCAGATCCCGTAGCAGTGTACAAAGGATGGACTAACAGACATTTAATTGTAACCAGACAACTCGACGTACAGGAACAGAGAGGTGGAGGGCCCTGCTCAATGAACTTACATTCTAGAGGGAGTGGGGTATAGTGACACCAAGGGTAAAAGTGGGGGGACGAAGAAGTTGTTAGAAAAGTATTCACTGAGGACTTAGTAGGTGAGCAGTCATGGAGGGTGGGGGATAAAAAACAGTTTAATTGGTATGCTTTCTTGAAGAAGTGAGTTTTCAATGATTTTTTGAATGAGTGGAGACTGGGTGAAATTCTTATGGAGAAGGTAAGAGAGTTCCACAGAAGAGGTGCAGCCCTGGAAAAGTCTTGGAGGCGAGCGTTAGAGGTGGGAGAACGAACAGAGGATATACGTAGGTCTTTGACAAAGCGTAGGGGCCTCGACGGGACATACTTGTGTATTAGGAAGGATAGGTAGGTTGGAGCAGCATTATGTAGAGACTTGTATGCAAGCACCAGAATTTTAAATTGAGCCCTATATCTAACTGGGAGCCAATGCAGGGACTGACAGAGCAGGGAGGCGTGGGAGGTGCGAGCGGACAGGAAAATGAGCCATGCTGCCGCATTCATTATAGATTGCAACGGTGCAATCTGGGAACACGTAAGACCACTGAGAAGAGTATTGCAGTAGTCCAGGCGAGAGAGAACAAGAGCATGGACTAGCACCTTAGCCGCATCCGGGGTTAAATAGGGGCAGATGCGCGCTATGTTTTTGAGATGGAAGCAACAGGATTTGGTGATTGATTGGACATGAGGGGTGAAGGAGAGGTTGGAGTAAAAAAGAACACCGAGCAGCGAGCCTGCGAGGTAGAGGTGATGGTAGCGCCATTGACTTGGAGGGAGACAGACATGGTGTAACACTTGAGGGAGGAAAGATCAGAAGTTCTGTTTTGGACAGGTTGAGTTTAAGGAAGTGATCAGCCATCCATTTGGAAATCGAAGAGAGGCAGTCAGAGACACGAGTCAAGATGGGCGGAGAGAGATCAGGAGAGGACATAGAAATATCGTCCTCATAGAAATGATAGTGGATGCCAAGCGTGCTGATGAGTTTACCAAGGGAGGGAGTGTAGATAGAGAACAGTAGGGGACCAAGGACAGAACCTTGGGGGACGCCGACAGAGAGTGGTTGGGGGGAAGAGGCAGAGTCAGGGAAAGAAACACTGCAAGAGCGCTTGGAGAGGTAAGAGGAGAACCAGGAGAGAGCAGTATCCCGTAGATCAAAATTACGGAGAATGCGAAGAAGCTGTTGATCAACAGTGTCAAAGGCAGCAGAAAGAGGATAGAGTAATGACCACAAGATTTAGCAGCAATTAAATCGTTGGTCACAGCCTTTTCGACAGAATGACCAGCGCAGGGTCAAGCAGAGAGTTGGTTTCGAGAAAGTCAGTCAGTCTACACAACTCTGTCGAGGATCTTGGAGGCAAATAGTAGTAGCAAGATAGGGCGGTAGTTGGATGGGGAGTTGGGGTCAAGGCTGGGCTTTTTCAGAATTGGGGTTACAGTTGCATGTTTGAAGGGTGAGGGAAATGTGCCAGAGGCGCGCCGCAGAGTGAGGCTGGGAACCGGAATATGACGTCATCGACCCGGCTCCCAGCCTCACTCTGCGGCGCATGAGGGAGCTGAGCAGACCGCTCAGAGGAAGAGCTCCCTTGCCAGCCGCCCGCCCAGCAGCCCGCACGCCCGGTATGTCAGTTAGCCGCGAGGC